AAACATTCCTCAATATCAATGGTCTTAACTCGCCTACAAAAAAGACACAGGCTAACAGAATGGATATAAGACAGAAACCATCCTTCTGATGCATACAGGAAACACACCTCAACTTAAAAGACAAACATTACCTCAGAGTGAAGGATTGGGAAAAGATTTTCCAATCAAGGGACCCAAGAAACAAGCAGGTGTAGCAATCCAAGTATCTAATAAATTAGACTTCAAACTAAAATCAATCAAAAGAGATGAAGAAGGTCATTTCACATTCATCACAGAAGAAATCCATCAAGACGAAGTCTCAATTTTGTACATCTATACACCAAATAAAAAGGTATCCACATTGGTAAAAGAAACATTACTGAAACTCAAATCACCCATAATACTCCACACACTTATAGTGGGAGACTTCAACACCCCACTCTCACCACTAGACAGGAACACCAGACAGATACTTAACAAAGAAACAAAGCAACTAACAGAAGTTATGACCAAATCAGGTTTAACAGACGTCTATAGAACATTCCATTCAAACACAAAAGAATATACCTTTTTCTCAGCACCACATGGAACCTTCTCTAAAATCGACCACATACTAGGCAACATAACAAACTTCAACAGATACAAAAATGGTAGTAACCCCTTGTATCTTATTGGATCATAATGGTTTAAAATTAGAATTTAACAACAACACAAATTGCAGAATACCTACAAACTCATGGAAATTGAACAATGCACAATTGCGCCATTCCTGGGTCAAAAAAGAAATAAAAAAAGAAATTAAAGACTTCCTAGAACTCAAAGAGAATGAAGACAAAACATACCCAAACCTATGGGACACTTTGAAAGCAGTGCTAAGTTCATAGCACTAAGTGCCCACATGAAGAAACTGGAAAATAAACACACTGGAGAATTACCAGAACACATGAAGGCTCTAGAACAAAAGGAAGCACACTGACCCAGGAGGAGTAGACACTTGGAAGTAATCAAATTGAAGGCTGTAACCAATAAAGTAGAAACAAAGAAAACAATACAAAGAATCAATGAAACAAAGAACTGGTTCTTTGAGAAAATCAACAAGATACACAAAACCTTATCCAAACTAACCAAAAGACAGAGAGAGAGAAAGAGAGAGAGAGAGAACATGCAAATTAACAAAATCAGCAATGAAAGGGGGACATAACAATGAACACTGAGGAAATCCCAAGAATCATCAGTTCATACTTTGAAAACCTGTACTCCTCAAAATTCAAAAATTTAAAGGAAATGGACAATTTTCTGCACAGATATCACTTACCAAAATTAAATCAGGAACAGAAAGCAATTTAAATAGACCTAAAACCTCTAATGAAATAGAAGCAGTCATCAAAAGTCTCACAACCAAAAATAGCCCAGTGTCAGATGGTTTCAGTGCAGGATTCTACCAGAAATTCAAAGAAGAGCTAATACCAACACTCCTCAAAACTGTTCCACACAATAGAAGCAGAAGGGTCATTGCCAAACTCTTTTTAGGAGACTACAATTACTGTGGTGCACAAACCACAAAAAGACACAACTAAGAAAGAGAACACACACCAGTCTCCCTCATGAACTTTGGTGCAAAAATACCCAATAAAATACTGGCAAATCAGATCCAAGAAAACATTAGACAAACCATCTATCATGATCAAGTAGGCTTCATCCCAGGGATGCAGGGATGGCTTAACATATGAAAATCCATCAATGTAATCCACCATATAAACGATCTGATAAAGAAAAACCACATGATCATCTCACTAGATGCTGAAAAATCTTTGGCAAAATACAATACCCCTTCATGATAAAGGTCTTGGAAAGATCAGGGATAACAGGAACACACATAAACATAATAAAAACAATATACAAGCCAACAGCCAACATCAAACTAAATGCAATTCTCTAAAATCAGGAACAAGACAAGGCTGTCCACTTTCTCCATATCTCTTCAATATGGTACTTGAAGTTCTAGCTAAAGCAATAAGACAACAAAAGGAGATCAAGGGGCTACGAATTGGAAAGGAAGAAGTCAAACTTTCACTATTTGCAGATGATGTGGTAGTTTATATGAATGACCTGAAAATTTTTACCATGGAGCTCCTACAGCTGATAAACATCTTCAGCAAAGTGGCAGAATACAAGATTAACTAAAAAATCAGTAGCCCTACTATATATAGATGATAGATTGTCTGAGAAAGAAATCAGAGAAACATCACCCTTTATAATGGCCAGAAACAACATAAAATATCTTGGGGTAACTCTAACCAAACAAGTAAAAATTTGGATGACAAGAACTTTGAGTCTTTAAAGAAAGATATTAAAGAAGATATCAGAAAATGGAAAGATCTCCCATGCTCTTGGATAGGTAGGATAAACTTAGAAAAAAATGGCAATCTTGCCAAAAGCAATCTACAGATTCAATGCAATCCCCATCAAAGTCCTAGCACAATTCTTCAAAGACCTTGAAAGAATAATTCTCAACTTTATGTGGAAAAGCAAAAAACCCAGGGTAGCCAAAACAACCCTGCATAATAAAGGAACTTCTAGAGGCATAACAATTCCTGACTTCAAGCTCCATTATAGAGACGTAGGCCTGAAAATAGCTAGGTATTGGGAAAAAAATAGACAGGTAAACCAATGGAATAGTGTTGAATACCCTGATATTAACCCACATGTCTATGAACACCTGATTTTGATAAAGAAGCTAAAATTATACAATGGAATAAAGAAAGCATCTTGAACAAATGGTGCTGGAGTAACTGGATGTAGAAGATTTCAGAGAGATCCATATCTATCTCTATGCCCAAAACTTAAGTCCAAATGTGTCAAAGACCTCAACATAAATCCAGCTACATGAACCTCTTAGAAGGGAAAGCGGGAAGTACCCTTGTACAAATTGGTACAGGAGACTGCTTCCTGAACATAACACCAGTAAGTAGCACAGACACTGAGATCAATAATAAATGGGACTGCCTGAAACTGAGAAACTTATGTAAGGCAAAAGATACAGTTAATAGGACAAAATGGCAGCCCACAGAATGGGAGAAGATATTCACTAACCCCACATCTGATAGAGGGCTGATTTCCAAAATATACAAAGAACTCAAGAAGCTAGTCACCAAAGCACCAAAAAAATCCAATTAAAAAGTGGGATACAGAACTAAATTGAAAATTCTCAATAGAGGGATCTAAAATGGCTGAGAGACACTGAAGAAAGTGCTTAACATCCTTAGGCATCAGGGAAATGCAAATCAAAACAACTCTGAGATACCATCTTACACCTGTCAGATTGGCTAAAATAAAAAAAACACCAATGACAGTTTATTCTGGAGAGGATGTGGAGAAAGGGGAACACTCTTCCACTGCTGGTGGGAGTGCAAACTTGTACAGACTCTTTGGAAATCAGTATGGCAGTTCCTCAGGAAAATGGGAATCCTTACCACAAGATCTAGCGATTCCACTCTTAGGCATATACCCAAAGGATGCAAATTCATACAACAAGGACATCTCTTCAACTATGTTAACAGCAGCATCATTTGTAATAGCCAGAACCTGGAAGCAACCTAGATGCCCCTCAACTGAAGAATGGATAAAGAAAATGTGGTACATTTATGGAGTAGTATTCAGCAGAAAAATAAAAAACAAAAAGCAAAAAGCAATGGAATCTTGCAATTCACAGGCAAATGTATGGAACTAGAAGAAACAATCCTGAATGAGGTAACCCAGTCACAAACAGACAAAGATGGTATGTATTCACTCGTATATGGATATTAGACATGGAGCAAAGGATTACCAGCCTACAATCCACAATACCAGAGAAGTTAGGAAACAAGGTGGACCCTAAGAGAAACATACATGATCCCCTGGAGAAGGGGAAAGGCACAAGGTCTCTTTGGCAAATTGGGAGCATGGGGGTGAGGGTAGAGAGGAATTAAGAGAAAGAGAAGGGGAGAAGAGGAGATGGGAGGAAGACATGAGGGAGCAGGAAGACTGAGTCAGGGAGTGCATAGAATAGAGGGAGCCATTAAAGGTTTAAATAGAAATCTGACACCAGGGAAATGTCCAGAGATCTACAAGGATAACACCAACTAAGCATCTAAGCAATAGTGGAGAGGCTATCTTTCCCCGATAATGAATTGATTCCTACCTTATATGCCCACCTAGAGCCTTCATCCAGTAGCAAAGACCCACAGCTAAGCACTGAGCCAAACTCCTAGAATCCAGTTGCAGAGAGGGAGGAGTGATGAACATAGGGGTGAAGACCATGCTGGCGAAACTCACAAAACAGCTGACCTGAACAAGGGGGAGCAATGGACCCCACACTGACAGCTGTGAAACCAGAATAGGACCGAACCAGGCCCCCTGAATATGGCTGTCAGTAAGGAGGCCTAGACAGTCTATGGGGCCTCTGGTAGTGGATCAGCATTTATCCCTAGTGTATGAATGGACTTTGGAAACTCATTCCCCAGAGATGGATACTCTGTCAGCCCAGACACACGGGGAGGGCTTAGACCCTGCCCCAAATGATATGATAGACTTTGATGATCCCCATGTAAGGCCTCACCCTCCCTGGGTAGCAGAAAGGGGATGGGATGGAGGGCTGGTGGAGGGCATGGGATAATGGAAGGGATATGAGACTGGGATTGATGTGTAAAATAATATTGCTTCCAATCTAAATTTAAAAAAAGTCAAGCACCAAAAAATACCTTGAATTAAAATGTATTAATTAAGCAGCCTTTCTTGATTGTATTACAAAATAAGGTATATAGTGTTTATTTTTCTTATGGAGTAAAAGAGTGAATAATTTTTCAACACATTCAGATGCAAACAAAACTGATGTTACAGATTTAAAAAAAATCCAATAAACATGTTCATTTTATAATAGTCTTCATACAATCATCTAAACCAAGTAGGAATTACTAAGACAATATAAATCAGCCTTCATTTTGTGAAGTAAACATTTTTAAGTACAAAATTAATATGCATGTTTAAATAGGACATTGAAAATTATCTGTTTACAACACTAATTTATAACCTCATTACTAATAATTACCTCTTTCCTGGAAGTGTCTTATATTTGCTTTTCAAATAAGATTAGGGTCAATTTGCATTAACATTTTATATAAACATAATCTGCATGCTCAGAGTTCACTGAGAAGACTGTGACATTTTTATTTCCAAAACTGAAGAATTACTTGGGAATCTGGATAGATAATATAAGTGTTAAAAATATTTAAGTGTGGTGATGTGTGTCTACAAATCCAACCCTCAGAACTAAAGCATGGATCATTATGAGATGCCAGCCTAGACACTATATTGAGAACCTGTTCAAGGGAAAAAAAATCGGAGGAGAGTGAAGAAAAGGAAAAGCCCAGTGTAAACTCTCTCCTGGGAAGAGAAGCTGCAATTTTTCAAAAGATTCTAAGTTGGCTGGCATAATGCAACTGCTAGGGCGATTCCAAACAGTGTACTGTCTCATCTGTGTATGTGATTATCATATTTGAGACTCAGGTTATTGCTGTTTCCTTTCTGTTTCAGCCTGTTCTTCTTCTGCTTTTATTCTTCCTTTGAATGACGTCATACAGGTGTCCATGCCAAGGTACTCACTAAGCGCAATCATCATTTTTGCAGATATTATTCTAGAGAAAAGCAGAGAAAAGTTATGACCCTTTAAGACTCCTAAAGTCACCGAAGGGACTACTTTGCACAGACTAAGTGCAAATAAAGTCTGAAAGATCAAGATTTGTGCTGTGCATCTGTCACTTAATGGGAGGGATGGATGGAAGGCTACCATACTTCAGAGCCATCAATATCATGGATCATGGCAGATACTTTCAGCTCTCTTCCTACGTCCTAGAATTATTCTCAAAGCTTTGAAAAAAACCCAGTTTCTCCACATGCTACACTTCCTGGTTCTTTGGAGAGACAAGATAGCTCCCTATTTACTCTGTCTATCCTTACTTACTACACAGCAATAGAAAGAATTAGAATAAAGACATAGCAGCTAAGAAGACTATGTGTGACACAGTAGCTTTAAGTGTAAAGATGTTTCTAATGTGTGTGTGAGATCAAGGATAATATTGGATCTCAGATCACTTCTGCTTGGATCAGCCCAGTTCTGCTCATCTTAACTGAACAAATATTTTTCCATGTTTATTCTTTATCAGATCCTGTCCTGGGTATAAGAAGAGACCAGGAAAAAACTTAGAAATTGTGTCCTCAGAGAACACACACGTTGGCAAGTGTCCAGTATGTTAAATGCTAGAAACCCATGAGAAGTGTGATGGTCATACTACCACAAATGTTGGCTTTCCAAAGCAGTTAGGACAGACAAGGAAGAATAGGGAATGCAGTGAATAGGTAGAAATGGCAAAGGAAACACTATATTTCCTAAGAAATTTCCTAGGAAAACTCCAACTTTCAAGGTACCAACATGATGCCAGGAGAGGGAAATGCTACAGCTGATATATGACAAGTCCTAATGAAAGCGCTTCTTCAGATGACATTTGGGCTGTGTGCTGGAAACACATGGGCACCTTAGGTTCTATCTCCAAGATACCTCACTGTATATAAACTACTCCAGATTTGAATAAATTGAACCCCAGACACTTGTGATCCCAAACATTTTTCACAAGGGCAATACGTCTTGTGCATACAGCAAGGATAGGGCCTGATGGGAAAGCTTCAGCAGCTCCGTTTCATCTTGCAGATTTTCCGGTCCTCTCTAGACTCTGGATGTGCTAGGCGGGCAAGCTTCCTCAACAGCCATCAGGGCTAGAGGCAGCAGACAGAATATACTGTCTCCATGTTAGATGTGACAGTGTGAGAGCCTACTCACAAATACCCCAGAATGCATCGTGCTGACTTTCAAGGAACTCGCAGGAACTGGAGAAATTACCAAATACTTTAGCATTTTGCCAGAAAAAAAATCAGGATTTTTGTCTGTTATTGCAAAAATATAGCTCTGCATCATGCAAACTAAATTAATCAATAAAAATAAAAACGTAAAACAACAATAAAAGAAGCAGAATATGGTGTTTTGTACAGTAATCAGGGAAGTTGGGAAGGGATTTGAAAGCCTGGACTATGCAATATACTATTGTCTCAAAGAACCAAAGTAAGTGAATAAAGACACACACACACACACACACACACACACACACACACACACACACACACCACTGCTGCTGCTGCTACCACTAAAACAACAGGAAACAACCATAAAACTTCCCCCAATGCTCCCCACCCCCGAATTTGTGTGCTATTTGGTTCTGTAAAGGAACAAATATTATGTGCTCTTGAGAGGCTTAAATAATGCCATATTTTAACAAAGACATAGTTCACAGTAGCCCAATAAATTTTCCTTGTGTAATATTAAAATTCTTTGTTAACATTTTAAGTAACAGTGAAGTAACTTTGTAGATAGAAAAACTAGCAATGATCAGACAAGTTGTTCACAACAAGCCCAAAGGCCAATTAGGTCTTCATTAACTTACTGTTTGAGAAATAATGCAAAATATGAAAACTTGGGTATGAAGAGGTAAACTTGTTCCTCTAAGATAGCACTGAAGACTTTCTGAGCCACATACTCCTGATCCAGTAGAGGTAGCAGAAGGGGATACCTGGAATGATAATGCAGACAGAAATTGGGTTAATAGAGTGGTCTTTTCTATGTGGTCAGTACTGAGTGTTAGATTTCAGAAATCAAATTACAATAAAAACAATGACTGCAAGAAGTGAAAACATGAGTGAGTACTTGGGGTTATCTTGTGTTTCCGCAAAAGGCCAATGCTGGATCAGTATGGGTATCTTTTACTGCCTCATGTGAATGCCCAGTCCTTGCTTATTTTCTGCTCTATTGTCTGGATATAAAGGTCCAATTACTAGTCTAGGCAAATGGCCCAGTGGTTAGGTGCTTGAGTCACAAGCTTGAGGACCAGAATTTGAGGCCCAGAACCCATGAAATACAAGGTGCGCATGGCAGACCCCTTGCAATTCCAGGCTCAGAAGTTTGCGATGGGATCAAGCTGGTTAAGAGGACTAGCCAGGTTGTCAAGATCTGGGTTTGATTCAGAGAGCCTGCCTCAGTGAAAAGATTCAAGTGTGGTCATGATTATTCCTCATATCAACCACAGGCTTCCATGTACACATGTACATGTGTAGTCACTGTTGAAGAAACATGCACATTACACACACACAATGTAAAAAGTGATGCAATTATTTAAATTACTTTTAGATTTTTTTGTATCAACTTTTCCTCTCCTTTCTCACAAACATATTGAATTAGACACAAAAACATGTTATTAAGAAGTAAAATTGCAAAAAATCATTCATCAGAATTATCTCTTGAGCATAAGTAATGTATTATATTAGGCAGACGATTGTTACATCATTAAGTGAAATGGGTTATAAAGCAATGGGAGATGTTGGATTAGACTGAAAGTAAAGATTCTATATTTCTTATTTTATATTTTTATACTTTTTCAATCACTTGAACCATATACATTCAGGCACTGTTTCTCTCAGCTGAGTTGGAAAGTAATCAATTTTCTGTGCCTGAATTTTGACAACTCTTGAAAGTCCCTATTGCTCCAGCTTAAGGGGCTTAACACATTTAGATACAAACTCTATAGACCAGCTTTATTTCATCACTTAAGGGTCATTTTAGGATTAAGGAGCTTTCTTTCATTCTTCTGAAGAATTCTTTTTTGGCTTCTATGTACATAGGTATGCTGAGCTTATACAAACCATTGTTTAACATCATAGTCTTTACTTGACAGCATTTTACAATTTTCTGGCATTTATATTCATTTGTGACCTTGACAACCTAGTATTAAAAGCATATACGTGGTGCTTGAGAGTATCTCAGTGGTTAAGAATACTTACTGTTCTTGAAGAGAAGTGGATTCTGTTCCTAGCACTCACATCATAGTTCACAGGCCTGTGTAACAGATCCAGGGGATCTGTTGTCCACCTATGACATCTCCAGGTACCAGGGTTACTTACACATGATATACATACATATAAGCATGCAAAACACTCAAGAATAAAATGAAACAGGTGAATCTAAAAGTTGAAAAAGTATGTACTCATTAATCTGAGGGAAATTAAGGACCATTAAGTGTTAATTCTTGTTTGTTTTGGATTTGTTGGTGGTGGTATTGTATGTGGATTTACCCCAATTATTATCAATTCTTATTGATACTGTTGAAAATTAATGTTAGAAATAGATATTGTGCCAGCTAGCTTTATGTTAACTTGGCACAAGCTAGAATTATTTGGGGAGGAGGAACTTCAGTTGAGAAAACTATCCCATCAAATTGGTCTGTGGGCAAGTGTGTAGTAAAGTTTCTTGACTGATGATTGATATGGGAGGGCTAATCTCACTGCAGGTGGTGCCACTCCCGGGAAGTGGTCCTGGGGGCTATAAGGGGCAGGCTGAGCAAGCCAGTAAGTGCCACTCCACCATGGCCTCTGGATCAGTTCTTGCCTTCAGGCACCTGTCCTGACTTGCTTCGATGATGGACTGTGATATGAAAGTGTAAGAGAAATAAACCCTTCTTTCTCCCAAGTTGCTTCTGGTCATGGAGTTTTATCACAACATCAGAACCCTGACTAAGACAGATTCCAAAGGCATAATATGTCATGTGTACTACTCACACATGGGGAAATGTTTATTGAGTTTTACCAATTATAAAATTTGGGTTGTTTTTCTTTTACTAGTCCATTGTCAAATTTTCTTTATCTAGCTTAGAAAGAAGTCTTTAATAAGCTATAGGATACACACACACACACACACACACACACACACACACACATATATATATATATATTTAGAAAGGGTTTCTCTGTGTAGCCTTGTAGATCAGGTTGACCTTGAACTCATAGAGTTCCATCTGCCTCTGCCTCCCCAGGGCTGGGATTAAACTGGAATACATTAATTGTGTGTGATACTAGAATTTGTGAAGACATTTTCAAACAAGTATATAATATAATTGGAGCACACTTCTCCTCCACATAGTTCACCCCTCATCTTTTTCTACCTTTCCCATTTTCAGCCTCCTTTTTCTAGACGTCTAGATTTACTTCCACTTTCAGGTCAAACATACACATGTGAGTGTGTGCACGAGTGTGTACATTAACACACACGGTTTTATGTATCCGTGTAAAATCTAGGATACACAAATGAGAAAATACACAGAGACTAAATTCATTTAATGATTATCTTTGAAGCACAAATATTTTAAAATTTGATGGGTCTAGTTTGCTTTCAGTTGCTGTTTGTACTTCTGGTGTTACAGTTGGTAGATCACTACATAATCTCGGGCCACAAAAATCCAGTTTTTCTTTATGAATTAACTTTTACTCATTTGCAGTTGACTTTTGCGTGATGGGGGCTTGTGTGGTGATGTTTGTCTGAAGGTCAGTGGGTGGATCTAGCCACTAGTTAACCATAGGAGGCTTGGCAGTGTTGGCACACACGTTTGATCCCTGCACTTAGGAGGTAGAGACAGGAAGTGATACAGCTGGGCAGAGAGGAATATAAGGAAGGAGGACATAGGAGCTCAACCTTTTTCAAAATTTTATTTTATTTTAAAACAGTCTTTTCTCATTTTACAAACCAATCCCAGTCCCCACTCCCTCCCCGCCTCCTACTCCCCCCATTCACTCTTCAGAGAGGGTAAATCTTCCCATGGGGAATCAACAAAGTCTGGTGCATCATTTGAGGCAGGACCTAGTCTTTCCCACTCCATATCCAGGCTGAGCAAGGTATCCTTCCAAGGCAAATGGGCTCCAAAAAGGCAGTTCAAGCTCTAGGGAAAAATCCTGGTCCCACTGCCAGTGACCTCACAGACTGCCCAAGCCACACAACTGTCACCACATCCAGAGATCCATTGCAGGATCCCTGCTGTCATACTAACCATGTGATGTGGTTAGTATGCACATACTCGCTTTGTTTTCTGTTCTTAGTTTTTTTTGTGCTGAAAACAGAACATAGGACCTGGCACACGGTAGCTATACACTCTACCATCGCCCCACACTATGTATTCCCTGACTTATTCTTGCTCTTGGGGGCAAAGCAATGTTCTCAGCACTGAGTACAAGGCAACCTGTGACTTTTTCACAGATGCCATATATCTTTTCAATGAACCAGCTTTGTATTAGTCACTTTTCTAATCCTCTGATTTCTATAGTGAGATTTCATAGTTCTGCTTGCATTGGATTCATTGCAATCTTAGTTTACAGAGTTTCTGAAGCTAGAAGATGAAATTATAAATGTTCCTGAATAGTTGAACCTCATAAAAGTTTGCATGCCATATTTCAACATATTTGGAAATTTCTCAAATTTTCTTTTGTTTTGATTTACAATTTTATTCAATTTTAGCTAGACAGCATACTTTATATGACTTTATTCTTTTAGATTTTATTAATGCTGTGTTATGGGCAGGCGGATGCTTCCTTCTGGGCAATGTCTGAGGCAAACTCAGTAGGAGTGTACACTCAATTATTCACACTCAGCATGAGTGTGCACTCTGTTTCTGTTGAGCAGAGTGACTTTCAACGTCTATTACATTTGCTTGATTGGGGCTGTTTGCTATCAAGGCATCATTCAGTATCTTAACTTTTTATTTGGAAGTTATTGGCGTTTTGCTGATGTATATACCATATATCTTAATCTAGCAGAATCCACTTTTATATGGCACCTTAATTTTGGTGTGACAGATAAACTTTGTTCCCACACAGCTATATTACTTTCTTGCTTTATGCCACAATAATATACTATAATATTAATTGTGTATATATATTATAATGTGGCTATTACTTTAGAAGTTCTGTGTTTTAAGGAAGGTGAAGGGACAAGGGAAAAGAAGTAGAGTCCCTCCATGCTGCTTCTTTCTATCTGCAATCATCTCCTAAGTCTAACAGAGTTTTGTTGTCACTCATCTCGTTTGAGCTTTTAAAAATATTCTTCTGTCCACGTTGTTTATGACAATGTATTCATAATTAATTCAAGGGAGGAAAAGAAATACACATCTCTACTGCCATTTACACTGTTATCTACTTTGATGAGCTTTTGATTGTTCTCTGTGTGAATTCTGATTATTCTCTGACGTCCCCTGATGTATCCTGAGAACTTCCTTTTGAGTTTCTTGTAGGTTGGAGTACAAACTCTCTTTTTAGTGATCTTCAGTTTTGCAACATAGTTTTGCTGGAAAAGAATCCTGGTTGATTTTTCTTTTGGTTTCTTGACTGTGTTGTGTGTCATCTGAAGTCTTTCATTGTTTCTGAAGTTACCTATAGATCACATCTGAGTTGACTTGCTTTTGATAAGATACTTTTCTTCTTGCTGCTTTTAAGATTATCTTTGTTTTGTTTTTCAGTATTTTGACCATGCCGTATCTGTGTGTGGAACACCAAGTGCCTATCTTTCTTGGAGCTCACTGAGGTTTTAGGAAATTTCTATGAAGTTGTTTATCAACATGATTAAAACTTACTTGAATAATAACAAAGTTTTAGATATGAAGATATCATAGATGCTATATATCATAACCAATATTTGGAATTGAATGGACAGTTATATTGTTGGTCTTCCTTTTGTTTGAAAGATCCATTTATTGGTTCCATGATAACATGACTATTACTTTGTTTAGAAACTGGTCCATTTTAGCAAACAATTCTAAAATACATCTTCAATTTTAACTGGAGTGACCTGCAGTTGTTGAGGACTCCTGGGTAAACAGTTGATGAAAATCCACATTTTGTTTTTAAAAAAATACTCATTTTATACACTACAAGTAAATAATTAGTATTTTAATCTTTAAGTTTTCTATCTGATACTTGGAGTGACAGCCCCCCCAGAAATTCCCTTGACACATAATTGTAATCTCCTCTTCTGGCAGGTAAAGTCTCTTGTGTGTTTAAGCCATCTTGAGAAAAAATTTATGCTGGTCTAGTACCTCGTAGTCATTGCACTTGCTGTCTTTTATGCCCCTGTGGCAGTATCTTGAAATCTTGACCACAAACCAGTTTTGAACACTTCAGGAGGGTGATTTATTTGCTATTCCCAACTCTGTCCCTATTCCCCAAATTTCTGATGTTTTCTCCCAGTTGTCCCTACATGGTCCACAGCGGCATGAAAGAGAAGGACTGGTTGGGAATGACCTGTCTTCTAACACACTTCAGACCTCCTTCCCAAAGTCATTCATTACAAACAGCACTCGGTGGCGCTTGTTCTGAGGCTGCTGCACAATAATTTCAGAAAGCTTGGTGGTATAACTGTTTTCAAAATGAGCGCTAATGATTTTTGTGATTTGTCTGTCTATAGCACCTAATAAGGATGTCTGTGTGTCCCCTAGTTCATATTTTGAGCAGTTTCTGACACTGTTTTGGTGACAACACTAACTAAACCGTTTCCTGAAACCATCTTTAGATGTAGAGATAAATAGTCTAGAAACAAATGGCAAAGGAATGACATATCTGTGTGAAGAGCTATTCATAGTTTTCAGTGCTGTTGTTTAAGATCGGTGTTCCATGATCGAGGTAACAGATAAAACTGGAAATCACTCAGTTTTGATCTCCGTTACACACATCAGACTACACAGGATTGTTCTCCCTCCTATTCATGGCTGCTTACCTCCACCAAGGCTGTACATCATGTTCATGCATAGGGAATGGATGGGTGGGCTACACAGCCACCACATCCTCTGCCCCAGTCACATAAGATGCCAGACAGGTCTGTTGGGTGTCTTGGATATTCAATGATTCACTGCGTAGGTGAGGGTGAGTGTTGTGGGCTGAGTGTAATGTGACACATGCCTATAATCATAGCACTTGCAATTGGAGGCAGGAGGATCACAAGTTCAAGGTTAGTATGGGCTGAACAACTAGCTCTGGCTGGCGTGAACTATATCATGGGATTATGTCCCAAACAAACAAATAAATGGAACAACACCCCAGATATGTCAGTGGCATGGGACATTGCTCTCCTGTGGGGTCTGTTGTACATATGCTTGTTGGTGTGTTTATTTAATGGCTTTATTGACTAGTTCAGTGAAGTTAGACTAGTTCTGACTGAATGCTGCCAATGTGTAATTTTGATGTCATTTTTTTCAGAGAATGTAGTCTCAGGTATAATAAAGTTTAATGAAGTGTTCCTAGCTGTCAAATACCACTGATGGCTGTGGTTTTAACCAAAATCCTTTTGTGTGTGTGTGTAAATATGTATGTACATGTGTGTGCATGTGTGTATATGCGTGAATGTCTGGACATATGTGTATGAGTGCATGTTTTTATATATGTGCATTAGTGCTTGTGTGTGTACTTGTGTTTGTGTATGCACATGTATGTACACGTGTGTTCATGTGTATATGTATGTTTGTGCATGTGTGTATACCTGTGTATATGTGTGTACATATGTGTTCATGTTTGTGTATGTGTGCATGTTTTTCCGCATGTGAGCACACCTGGGATCATGCAGAATCCAAAGGATGACATCAGGATGTCCTTCTCAGTTGCCTTTCAATCTTACTTAGTCTTCTGAAATATGATCTCTCACTGAACAGGGGCTTGCTATTTCAGACAGGCTGACTAACAAGCCACCAGGATCCAGTTTTCTAACACGTGGCACTGGGATTGCAGGTACATTTGTCATCCTGGCTGTGTATATGGGTGCCATAGGGATGTGGACTATCCTCTTCATTTTCCTGCAGCAAGTCCTTTACTCCTGCAGTCATCTTCCTAGCCTCCAGCCAGCACTTTTTTAGTCAACTTCCTGGGTGGTCTGCTGCTGTCCTATCACATCCAGCTCCAAAAGTTGCTAAGTGGTTGTGCTATTTCTAAAAAATATTCTAATCAATGATCTAATTGAAGCCAGGTCCACAAAGAAAAACGAGGCCTTTTTTTGAGATTGTCTTTGGACTTCACCTCGTAGAATATCGGCTACGGATCAGAGCATGTGGATCCTTGGTTTTCACTAATTCCATTCAGTTCATCTTATTCTGGAGGAGGGTGGAAAGAACAGGAGGTGACAGCTGCTGCTACCATCCTGTATGGATTTTCCACAACCCAGAGCCTGGATAGACAAGATCTTTTCTCTGGCAAGTCTATGTAAAAATCTGTTCAGGAGACTTTAAGTCGTGGGCGCTGATGTTAGACTGCTGAAAACACTGGGGTGCTGTAACAACAAGTTGCCACGCTAGAAACAGGAACTGTGTCAGAGGAACAAGCCCTGTCTGGATGAGGATACTCCTTCAGGGTAGTTTCTAGACTATGTCTACTATGCAGAGCTGCAGAAAGCAGGCTTGACAAGGACTCCCTGCTGCCAGCATTTGGAGAAGAGCCCTTCTGTCCTTGAGCTGAGGAAAGTGGGAACTGTCACTTAGTTACCATGCCCACTGAAGTGACTATCGCACAGAGACTGATGTAGTATGGAGCCCCCAATGTCATGGCCTCTCAGGATTATTACAGGATTTTGAAATATTCTTTGAATAGTCTTCTTAACTGCAGAAAGTTCTTTGATCAGTTCCTAGAAATTTTAAATGATTGCCCTACTACTCTCAGCACCTTGATAAACAAACTTGAAGTCAAAATCCCCCGACCCTGTTCATTCAATCAATGCTTTGCCACCTGCTTTGGGGTTTCTAACTTAATTTTATAGCTTCAGTGGACTCAAAATATCCTCATGATCTTTTTCTTTGGCTCTCTGTCTTCCTCCAAACACAGATGACTTGTGTGCCATCATGTCAGGTCATTTTCTAACAATCATAATAGCTGCCCAGACCTCACATTAAAGTTGTTGTTGTTCACTGTTTCCTGTGCAAAAGGCTTCATGCTGCATTATCATTCTAGTTCTAATTATTCTAGATAAATTTTCTCTTCATATCACTTTGTAGCATTTCCTGTCTATATTAACAAACCTTTCAAAATATTTTATATTTGGGGATATCTATAAGATTTTATATAGGAAGCAAAAGTTCTCATTGCCAATTTCCGTTATATGTTAATGATATGTAGGAGGAAAGATTGCTGAAAGGGCTCACTTACTTGGTTGCACAGCCTTCAAACATTCCAGTTTTGATGAAATATGGGCAAACGATGGTGCTTTTAACTTTAGATTTTCTTAGCATAGCTAATTCAAGGAAGAGGGACTCAGCCAAGCCAAAGGCTGCAAATTTGCTTGAAGAGTAATCTGAAATACAGTGAAAGGCCACAGTGATACAGCTTGGGAACTTGCCATAATGATTTAAAAATAACCCTCTTTTCTTTTTTCTGGGTTGTTCTTGAGGACAGAGTATCTCCATGCCACATAGCCATTAAAAACACTGAAATCTTTTCAATTTCCCTTAACCTAAGAATACTAATGAACCAATAGGTTTGCACACACTATTTTTATGTGCTTGTAAAAAGGAGAATACCTTTCCCAGTCTGCCATTGTGAGGAGGGAAATGGGAAGCAATGCACCTGGTTTATGAGGAAGGTTGAATGTTTCAAGAGTTCTGTTTGGGGCAGGAAGAGCTTCTCTGCATTCTTGAAGGGCCCCATTTCTGGGGGGAATAGAAAGATACATGGCAAATGGAAATACCCACCTGATAGTCTATTAGTACCCACTAGTCCTGCAATGCTTGAAATACAGACCAGGTGACCATGGTCAGCTTTAATCATGGCAGGAAGGAAGGCCTTACATGTCTGGGAAATACAAACACATTAGTTGATTAATTAATTGTTTTCAGTATTCTGTAAGTATTTGATGAACTTATTAATCCACTTAATAAAGTTTTATTTAATACTCACAGTGTGTTAAAATCTATGGAAGAGCAAAAGTAGGAAATACATAGCACTTATCCTGAGATTAGATTTTTTATTACACTTTTTTATTATATGTTTAAGTTAGGAACAAGTTTGCTTCCCATGTTAGTCCCAGCTCCCTCTCCCTCCCCTCCACACCCACTCCCCCCACCCCTCCAGCCCCCCACCCAATCCCCACTCCATTCCCTAGGGGAGGGTAAGGCCCTCCATGGGTGATCTCTAGAGTCTGTCATTTCGTTCCTGGGAGGACCCAGGACCTCCCCAAAGTGTCCAGATTGAGAGAGCATCCCTCATTGTGGGATGGGTCCCCAAAGACCATTTGTGTGCCAGGGATAAATACTGATCTACTACCTAAAAACCCCATAGATTGCCTGAGTTTCCTTATTGACACCCCCATTCAGGGGGTCTGGATCAGTCCCATGCTGGCCTCTCAGCCATCAGTCTGGGGTCCAAGATCTCCTCCTTGTTCATGTCAGCTGTTTCTCTGGGTTTCACCAGCCCAGTCTTGACCCCTTTGCTCATCACTCCTCCCTTTCTGTCACTGGGTTCCAGGAGTTCAGTTCAGTGTTTAGCTGTGGGTATCTGCCTCTGCTTCCTTCTGTCACTGGATAGAGGTTCTAGGATGGTATGTAAGACAGTCATCAAAATCATTATTAGGGAGGGGCATCTAATGTAGTCTCTCCTCTACTACTCAGTTTGCCGGTTGGTGTCATCCTTGTAGATCTCTGGAGATCTCACTAGTGCCAGATCTACCATCCAATCTAGAATGGCTCCCTCTATTATGGTATCTCCTTTCCTATTCTCCTCTATTCTTCCCCTAACTCAATGTTCCTTCACCCCCATGTCCTCCTCTTCCTTCCTCTTCTCTCGCTCTCTTTTTTTCTGGCTCCGTTTCCCCTCCCCCACCCTGTGCTCCCAATCTGCTCAGGAGATCTTGCTTCATTCCAGCTTCTTTGGGGGTACTTTGTATGTCTCTGTTAGGGTCCTTCCTGTTACCCTGACTCTCTGGCAGTGGGATTATAGACTGGCATTCCCCTGAATCCTGTCTAAAATCCATATATGAGTGAGTACATACCATGTTTGTCTTTTTGTGACTGGTTACCTCACTCAGGATGGTTTCTTCTAGTCCCATCCTGCAAATTTCAAGATTCCATTGTTTTTTTCTGCTGAATAGTATTCCATTGTGTAAATGTACCACATTTTCTCTATTCACTCTTCAGTTGAGGGGCATCTAGGTTGCTTCCAGGTTCTGGCTATTACAAATAATGTTGCTATAAACATAGTGGAACAGACGTCCTTGTTGTATGAATGTGCACCTTTTGGATATATGCCTAGGAGTGTAATTGCTGGGTCTTGTGGTAGACTGATTCCCATTTTCCTGAGGAACTGCCATACTGATTTCCATAGTGGCTGTATGAGATGGAACTCCTACCAGCAGTGGAGGAGTGTTCCCCTTTCTCCACAATCACTCTAGCATAAACTGTCATTGGTGTTTTTTATTTTAGCCATTCTGACAGGAGTAAGATGGTATCTCAGAATTGTTTTGATTTGCATTTCCCTGATTGCTAGGGATGTTGAGCACTTTCTTAAGTGCCTCTCGACCATTGTAGTCTCCTCTATTGAGAATTCTCTATTTAGTTCTGTAGACCACTTCTTAAATGGATCCTTTGGTGCTTTAGAGACTTGCTTACTGAGCTCTTTGTAGATTTTGGAGATCAGCCCTCTGTCAGATGTGGGGTTAGTGAATACCTTTTCCCATTCTGTGGGCTGCCTTTTTGTCTTGTCGACTGTGTCCTTTGCCTTGCAGAAGCTTCTTAGCTTCAGCAGGTCCCATTTATTAATTGTTGATCTCAGTGTCTGTGCTACTGGTGTTATGATCAGGAAGCCATCTCCTGTACCAGTTCATTCAAGGGTACCTTCTCCTTTCTCTTCTAAGAGGTTTAGTGTGGCGGGATTTATGTGGAGGTCTTTGATCCATTTGGACTTAAGTTTTGTACATGGTGTTAGACATGGATCTATCTGCAGTCTTCTACATGCCAGCATCCAATTATGCCAGCACCATTTGTTGAAGATGCTTTCTTATTTCCATTGTATAATTTTAGCTTCTTTGTCAAAAACCAATTGTTCATATGTGTGTGGGTTAATATCAGGGTTTTCTATTCGATTCCATTGGTCTAACTGTCTATTTTTGTGCCAATACCAAGCTGTTTACAGAACTATAGCTTTATAATAGAGCTTAAAGTCAGGGATGGTGATGCCGAGCATTGCCTTGTTTGACAGGGTGATTTTTGCTATCCTGGGTCTTTTGCTTTTCCATATAATGTTGAGAATTGTTCTTTCATGGTTTGTGAGGAATTGTGCTGGGATTTCAATGGGGATTGCATTGAGTCTGTAGATTGCTTTTGGCAAGATTGCCATTTTTACTATGTTGGTTCACCTATCTAAGAGCATAGGAGATCTCTCCATTTTCTGTTGTCTTCTTTAATTTCTTTAAAGACTTATGTGTTCAAATATAGGAAATAGTATATATTTTCATTCTCTTTTGAAGTAAACTTTACTAATTTAATAAAATAAGCATTTTACACTCGCTGGTTTTCTATAAGTTGTGCAGTTTTTAAATACTCTGAGTTCTTCATACAATTCTAATAATTTGCATTAAAATCAATCATGCTTACCTTCCAGACTTTACTATCTACACAATTTGCCTTCACTTTCAGGAATTAGCAGAAATGGGAGAAATTGTTAGAGGAAGATAAATTTAATGCAAACTACTCATGTGCTGATAAGAAGGCTGCCTCGGAACTACCAGGATTAGCAAGGTATGTGTTAGTAAACATTCATTTGGTGTGTTTTGGTAAGCTTCATTCATTTGGTATGTTTTGGTAAACTTCATTCATGTATCTTTAAGCAATGTACCCATGCCAAAAATACCCTTTTCTTTCCCTCATATATTCTGTCAGGGAAGTTTCACGTTCTTTACTCAACTCCAATAACAGGCTCTTTTTCTAGATCTCATTCATAAGAAATTCATAAAAATCATGGGAATAAGAAAGAGACAATGGCATGACTTGTAGCATACTGGAATAATTTCTTTAAAAAGATTTCTAAAAGTAGTACATTTATGTATGTATGTATGTATGTATGTATGTATGTATGTATTTAGTGTTTGTGTGTCTCCATGAAAGTCCTCATTTACTTTCTTTTTTTTCTAATTTCATTCATTTTTATTATTTCAATGTAATATATGAACATGACATTAATTATTATATATGCATTAATTATAATAATGGACCTAACCAACATATGACACAAAAACTGAAATAGATTAAACACATTCTCCTTTATCAGTTACAAACTGGGGTAGATAAATCTTGGAGAACTGACATGAATTAATTCTTTTGTTCTATTTTATTGGTTGCTATATTAACTTATTTGATTGAAACTGGAAAAATTAGAGTTTACTTTTTTATGAGTGTTCTAGTCAGTATTCTCTTGTGAAGAGATTCTGTGACCACAGCAACTCTTGTAAGAGAAAGCATTTAATTGGGCTGGGTTACAGATTTAGAAATCTAGCCCATTGTCATCATGGTGCAGAGCATGATGGCATACAGGCAGGTGTGTTGCTGGAACAGTCCCCGAGGGTTCTACACTGGGCAGCAGAAAAAGAGAGAAATTGGGCCTGGCTTGAGCTTTTGAAACCTAGAGGCCCCCAGTGACACACTTCCTCCAACAAGGCCACACCCACCCCAATAAGACAACACCCCTAATTGTTTTCATGTAGCTCCACTTCCTGGTGACCAAACATTCAAATATCTGATCTTGTGGCAGCCTTTCTTATTCAATCCACCATAATGAGCAGCCAATTTGTATGTATTAGTTTATCTACTTTCATTTTTTTATATATAACATTCCTAATGTATTTGGTATTTCTTTTTTTTTTTTAGATTTTTTTTAAAAATTTTATTTTCCAGTTTAGATTTGGATAAGAAACAAGGTTGCTTCACAAGTCAGTTCCAGGTCCCTCTCCCATTCCCTCCCTTCCTCCCGAGCCCTCCCCCCCCCCCGTTATCCCCTCATTTCCCCAGGGAGGGTGAGGCCCTCCATGGGGGTGTGCATAGTCTGTCATTTCATATAGGGCAGGGCCTAGACCTCATTTACTTTCTATTGCTGTGATAAACACTATGACTAAAAGCAGTTTGTGGGGGATATTTCCTCTTACAGTCTATAGCCCATATGAAAGGAAGTAAGAGTAGGAACTCAAGACAGGAGCCTGGAGGCTGAGACTGATCCAGAGCACATGAATGATTGCTGCTTACTGGCTTGCTTACTACAGTGTACTCTGTCTGCTTTCTTATATAACCCAGGACTACCTGCTTAGGTGTGGCACTTGTCATTCACAGTGGACTGAGCCCTCCCACATCATTGGTTGATCAAGAAAATGATTCTGTGAATCATTTTCCACAGGTCAGTCTGATGGGCATTGTCTCTGTTGAAGTTTCCTCTTCCCAGATAAGTCTAGGTTGTGTCAAGTTGACAAAACCCAACTAGCACAATGTGAGTGTGCATATGTATTGAGTGTGTGTATGTATGCCAGATGCATGCAGATGCCCACAGAGGACAGAAATGGGTGTAGGATCCTACAGAATAGGCTACCTGATGTGGGTGCTGGGAACTAACCATAGATCTTCTGCAAGAGCAGCAAGTGCTCTTAATCACTGAGCTATGTCTCTAGCCCACTACAACATTTTGTAACAAGCTCACTTGATGATCAATAACAGGTAAGAGTTCTGAGATCTTCTTTCTGCACTTCTTTCCTCATCGCCATGTAAGTCTAAGTTTCTCATGGCACAATTTTATCAGCTCTGTCACTCTGCTGGCTC